TTTGCATTGTTCCAAGAAGACTCTAACCCTCTTCATAGGTTTCATCATGGTAGTCACACTCAACAAAGCCCTATACAGTACAAAAATGTACTTTACCTGTTTTAAACCAATTTACCAATTTCAACTAAAAAATTCAATTTTTGCAGAACTCAATGAACAACAGTTCCCAACTTAATCCACCACCTTCGTGGTTTTGAAAACCTCCATTCTTTTGCACTCAGCCTTCTCCTCTCCAAACTGGAGTCACGGCTCCTTTATCCTCCCTTTGTATCTCATCCAACTCCACTACATCCTTCATGAGATGCAGAGATATACACTGGTTAAGAATTAAGTCACACTAATTTTTTACACAGGAGAAAAACTATGCCCTCAGTTCTCTTCCCAGGACATACTTGTTCATGCCTAACACAATGTAGATCTCTGAAAATTTTTAAAGCATTCTTTGAAATTAAACTTGTATATCCTGAAACAGCAGCTATTGATATGCAATCCACACCCCCCAGGGCAGAGCTGACACACAGGCACCCAAAACCCTGCAAAAACAAATCATGTACCAACCTGAGTTCACCAAGGAACTGCTCTGCACACAGGCTACATGACTGAGCTTTAAACAAACCCTCCAAAACTCCAACACCCAGAGGCCACAATGGGGCATATTGTGAAAGTCTTTCCTTAAGCATCACATACTCATCCAATATAGATTTTCAAAAAAACAAAACAACTTTCACTCACATTGACTGCTCTTTATAAACTGCTTTAAACAATGTTACTGACAACCCCGTGTGGCCTTTTGCTGCAGAGGGACCACACAGTGGTATCAGAATGTTGTCATTCCATGGTTCTGACGTGACTTCCAAAGTTTTGTCTATACTTCTCTCAAACCTCAAATAAATTATTTTCCTTGTCATCTCAAACCTATATAACCTGACACCCTATTACAACACTCATCACCTCTGTTCAACCCTACGCTTACAACACACTCGAATTGTTGATTATTAAGGGACAGGATTGTGACAATCCCTACAACCCGTGTCCTAGAGCTCACACCACCTTTTCTCCTTGCACAGTTTAAGTCAGAATAAGCCCAAAAAGACTGAAGGATGATAATGTTTGACTTGCAGCTTCATTTCTCTTTGAGTCCTTCTGCAAGGGAACCAGTCCTACTCCTTCCACCCACACCCAGCCCCGAGTGACAACTGCCCTGTCCTTCCCCTTCCCAGCCTTGCCCAGCCTGAAGGATTTTACAACCTCTGCTCTTCACTGCCTGTTTAATTTGTGTTGAGAAAGGGAGAAAACTTTCACCAAAGGCTCTGCTCGGTTACACTTCCCTTATCCCATGGCCACCAATGACGTTTACAACAGCAATCTCTGGAATGCAAACCAAGAAACAGGAAATGAAACACAGAGCAGGTAAAGTCAGAGGATTTTTTTGGTTTTTCCCTTTGCAGCTTCTTTTCAAGAGTATGCCAGCAGAACTGAAATAACATTTACTTTGGTGGAACTAAAAGTCTGCAAGCAGAAACTCTTCTGCATCCTGCTCTGATGTGGAGTTTAAATGTACGACACACAAACCTTGTACCTTACTAATGCCTGATTTTGGGATTGTTTGAAACAGATTTCAACATTTTCACAACTGTCCTTAGGCCACCACACTCTTTTCTCTTTACAGAAAGAGAAAACCTAAGCACCACCTTAATGATGATGTTTAGGAGACCTCACTGAACAGTCCTTGGGGCAACACATTGTTTCACAATGGAAGAGAAACACATAAAAAGGTAATTTCAAGCGTTCCAGTGAGTTTTATATATTGCCAGAAGTGACAATACCACCGGTCCCACCATCTGGGAATGTTCCCAGCCAGGGAAAACCGACATCCTGTTGGCATTAACTGACTAAACAACTGATCAGTGCACCTTGGATATTTCTTAACTGCCTTAGTGACTCTTCTGAAAGTGTTCTAATTCAGTGAGGATGCCAGGAATTTGTTACACTCTGTCCTTTTTAAGAAAGACTGAATTAAAGGTGTGACCCCATTATCAGACAGCCCATTAATTAAATGATCCACCTCCAGAAATCAGAGCAGGAATTTACACCCTCCCTGGACAGGACTACATGTTCTTTTAGCAAAATGCTTTACACTAATGAACAAGTGATTTTTGGTTGTCCTCAAACACAAGTAAAGTAATGTAGGAATTCTGGAGGAAATTATTAACTGATTGTCATCAGTAGAAACAATTGGGTGTAGCATTCAGAGAAGAAATTTCTTCAGGAACAAATAAATTAAATTACACTTTCTCAGCTTCATAAACAATTTACCTGAAAGTTTTTAGCTGACCACTTCAGTCAGACCAAATATCAGGCAGATTAGAATCCAAAAAGACATCAAGAAGGTGTTTAGTTCACCCTCTGCCCCTAAGCAAGATAAAATACACTTAGGTATAAGCCAACAGGTATGTCTTACTTGTATGAACCACAAATGTAAAAATTGTTGGGTTTTCCTTCAGCCAGTATTTCTGGTTACCTAATAAACTCACTTCAGTGGTTACATGACTGTTTTTCTAAATGCATGATAGTATTCAAATATCTCATGGGAATTTATTAATTCATTTATACGGAACATTGCCACGGTTTGAACCAGCAAAATGATGCCCATATTTTATTACAGCAGGATTGTATATACTGATTACTTTCTCCAGCTCTGGTTTGGTTGGGGTTTTTACATTCCATTTTTACTTTACATTTAAGGTAGAGAGGTTTCAAGGCAAATCCTCTGTTCCCTACAGAACCTGTTTAACACCTCCAGGTGTTCTGAAGCACAAGCATTTTTGTATAGATTTGCAACTATCAATGCAGCATTTGTCTATAGTTTGTGAGAAACTGATAAATTAATCTGTGTGAACTGAGCACACTGAAACATAAGATGTTTAGGAAATCAGGAACTTGCATCAGCTACAAGTACCCAAGGGGACCCAAGTTTTCCCCCTGATGTGACTCCACAGACACAGTGGAAAAAGGTCTAAAGAAGGATTTAAATTAATATTTGTTCATTTTCATATTTCCCTTCATTTTCTTGTTGGTTTGAATCTGTGAATCTGATTCCACCACTGCAGAATGTCTGTATTACTCAAGCAAAGATGTAATATGCAGGTCTGAAGTCCTTATCTCAATCAACTGGCATATAAATTAAGGTCTGGAAAACAAGTAATCTTGTTCACTTTTTGGGTCACCAGTTGAATTATTATCTAATGCTTCTCATTCTACAAACTTTTAAAAATATTACAATCTGTAGTTACTTACTGAGAGATTAAAATAGAATAAACTGCTTACAAAAAAATAAAAGAAAAGGGGAAAAAAATCCAAGTTCAAAAGTGAAAAGCTAAAACTACCATCTGGTTCAAGCAGGTTTTTAAATTTAAAAAAGAGTGAGAGACATGAAAAAGCAATTTTCAAAGTAAGAGTTGACTGGAGGAAAGCTGAAATACTGAACAGTAATTTTATTAACAGTTCAGCTGTAGCCAAATGCTAAGGGGGAAACAAATAAAACCAACAATTGCAACAACATGGTAGAGAAAGGCTTGGGGTAATGATTACACTGATATGCAGTATAAATTACCAAAATCCATTAATTAGACTACACTTCACAGGACCATTTCACACTTCCAGATGACCAGCAAGGAAATGTTGATATCTGAGGATCTCAGTAGGACATTATTTCCAGTTTAGGTTTAAAATTACAGACTCTTAGGTATCAATAAATATCAGTATAATGAATATATTACTACACATGTCATCTTGTACTGCACAACATTCACTCTGAATAAAAAACATAAGCATGAGTAACTGTACCAAAAAAAGTCCATACGCATTTTCTCCTAAAAGTGTGTTACCAAGAGATAAACTCCTGCATTCAGAGTAACTGGCACTGTATTTTTGTCCCATCTGGTTTGGCAAGTAAGGGAACTTTGCAAAAAGGGAAGCAATAAGTAGTTTGATGAGTTTAATTTCGTGAAATTTTATACCTTCTTAGTCAATCTGAAGTCTCATGTGAGGAAGGTTTCAAAGGAATCCTCAAAGTTTTAGTCCAGCTTTGTTGACAAAAGTCATATCACACAGGTGGATTACCACAGGAGAGAAAATTTCAACAAAATGTTTAAGTTTTCAGTTGAGCTTTAAAAAAGGTTCCTTTTTCTCTTTTCTGCTTTGAAGCATAAGAAGAATGCTAAAATGTCTAAAAATTTCACATGGCTTTATTCTGCACACTCATTTTACTTGACTGACAAGTGGCATTCACAGTGACACAAAAACATTACTTTTCAAACCCAACTGTAAAAGTGGAAAAACCAGAGTAAAAAGCACGGTTTGTCAAAAGTTGTTCCATGATAACATTTCCAAATACTTATTTAGGGTCATCTTCACTACTAAAAAGTAAAAAGCTAAAAAGTATGCTGATGGTAAGGTGATGCACACTTTTCTGGTTCAGGCAGCAGGAGCATATTAAAAAAAAAAACAAGCAGCATGTTTTTCTTCTATAACACCTTTTCAGCACATGAAAAAAGGTGGGTTCAGCTGAGTTTTGCAGGTCGTGCTTGTGGTATTTTCCACAGATAACAGCCCAGATAACACAGATTGCCACAGATAACACCTCAGTTCCAGGGTGGGGAGCTGGTAGACTGGAGAGGACAAACCATAAAGATGGAATGCAACGAGTGTCAGCAGCAGTGGGAGGCTTAGGAAGCCTCAAAACTAAGGTCAGACTGCAGGAGGAGAGGGACAGCTGCCTCTGCCACCAGCTCTTGTCCCTCACACGGTGTAACCACACGGAGGACAGCACTGGGGTACCTCCGACTTACAGCCAAGGGAAAGAAAATAGAGGACAAACAGGGTCCACGGGTGCAAGACAACTTCTGTGGGGCGAAAGGCCAGGAGGGATGTTCAGTGCTGACCCTGAGACTGCTTTTCCCTCCTGTGAGAAGCCTCTCTGCCCCCCTGGATGACCTTACCTTGTGCCCACAAGGGGAGTGGTCCGTACAGCGGCCGGTGCCCACAGGGGCAAGTCTGCAGACCCCTTCTCTGTCCTGATGGTCTTGGACTTTCCAATGGGGAGAGAGCGGATCCAGGTGGATGTAACAGGGCTGAAAGCAAAAATCAGGAAAAGTGTTACATTTCTGAGGGCTGTTGGCTTCCCCAGCAGGTTTCACCCTTGCCAAGGTGACTGAGCCACCTGGAAAGAAGGCCCTCCAGAAGGACCATTCTCTGTCCACCACTTAAACCACTGAAGTCATGTAAAACAAAACCAACCCTAAATTAAATGTATTTTAAAGCAATAAAGCCCTGTAAGCCATTCAGTGCAGGCCACAGTTTTGTCCTGGTTCCTGGTCCTGCTTCACTATTATAACAAGGAGTGAAAAAACCCAAACTGTGTCTCCTTTGCTTGAGTTCTCACTCAGATCCCTCCCCTGAGGAACCCACAGTTGACATATCTTGCTGGTCCTAGCAGGAATTACATGCTTATAACCTGCTATTCCCTGCAGCAGACAGGTAGACAAGCTCTTCTACCAAAAAAATTTCCATTTCATTTCAAACTTTTCATCTTTTTTCAGATATAATCTGAACAGGATATGAGAGGGGCAATGAGCTCAATTAAGGTCTTTGGATACACAGCAACTTCTGTTGCTCCCACAGAAATTCCAGCTTCTGGGAGTTAATACAATATATTCTTACTGAAAAAAAAAATACAAAACCCCCCACAAATCAAGGTAAAAAAATTAATTGGGCAACAGACACATTTCTTTTTATTACTCCTAAGAAGAGACAGCAGGTAACAAAGGAAGGGTGAGTGGCAGTAGTAGAAACAGGTATCATCTTGTTTATGTTTCTCAGGCTATAATATGCTTCAGAAAATCCTATCTTAATATTTCCTGGAGAAGACAGACATTGCACAGTCCACTGCACTGATGGCAGCATCATTCTGCAGTCTTATTAAAGTAATGTCCAATAACAAAGCTAATAACAATATACTACACCAAAGTCATGTCCTATGCGAATATTGTCTAATTGGATAGATAACATTGAAGAGAGACATAATGTTTCATCCAGCCAGAATCATATATAATGTACTTAAAGATCTATTGTCAGAAATAATGGCTACAAGCACGTACACTAAAATAATGGGCCAAATTACTGAGCTTCCTACAGCCATGGCATGCTGGAAGGGAAATTTTAGTGGAAAGCAGCTGGTCTAAAAGGCCCAGTGGAAGATTTCCACAGGTCAGTTACCTGCCAGTTTAAAATTTCCTCTTCCTTCTGACGTGGAAGCTGTAAGGACAGCTGGGAGTAACCCAGAGACTGGCAAGGGGCACAAGTTTTATTACACTCCATTTTTCATCAAATGGAAAAGTGTTAATATACAACAATTTTAATCAAAATGTCACTTAGCAAAAACACAGCATGGTTTCCAGTGACACACCCTGTTCACATCACTCTCTTTCAGTGGAAAAGCTGCTTTCAAAATACACCTAAAAGGGACATCAACAAAATTCACTACCAACCTACTGCACATCACAGTTTCTGTGATCAGCCCTCATTTAATAGAGGTTCATGGGATCTGAGTACAGGCTTTTCTCATTCCAAAAGCACCTTTTTGTACCCAGAAAAGTCTGATCTCAAATTCTTTAATTATATGCCTTGTTTAATTGAAGCCTGCATTTTGGTTAAAAATTAGATTGGAGCTGCTTGTGACACCTCAAGCTACTAAGACAATTGGTCCAGATTTCTTACTAAAAAATTCTGAGACAAAACCTTCAAAATGTTTCCCAGGATGGGGAGAATCTTTCACACTTAAGTCGACATCATAGAACTTCAGCTGGAAAATTGACTGACTGCAACTTTTACAGCTGAATGAAAAAACTGAACTCCTGAGATACAAGAGTGAGAAAGGATGATCTGCAGAAGTCACAAACTATTCAAGATACAAAGTGTCTTCTTACATCCACAGGTGAAATTCACTGGAATGGTTGGATGATTAAAATATATATATTGAAGTGATAGCATAACTTAAAGGAGGAGTATCTTGATAATCATTTAGATTAAAGACTATTGAACATATTCTCTGTTATACTCTGGTGATTAAATTTAAAGCTGAAACTGCTGGTTTCATAGCTTCAGAAGCTCAGTGTTGAACATAAAAAGACCATTTAACTAACTGGTTTCTGTGTTGAACATAAAAATACTATTTAACTAACTGTTTTCCTGAGGTTCACTTCCAAAACTCCCTCAGACAAATATCCTCTGTTCGTAATTGAAAGGATGTTAGTCCCAGAACTGTATTTCCATAACAACTGCACCCTCATTACAATTCTCACATTTTGTCAAGAACTCGCTCTGTTGATATTTTGTCAGTAAATTTTAATTAAACAAAAGCACTCATGCACTATGAATGTGAAATTGCAATGATGAGCTGGTGTACAAAGTGAAGTATCAGGGTGTTACCAAAACCTAAAGCAGGGATATTTAGAGTCTAAACATAGGAATGAAATGGTTTAAGCCAATTATACATGACCACCTCTTCTACATGAAAGTGCAATAATAATTTCAGAGGGATGATGCCATAGGTCCTGAACATCACAGCTACGGATTCACTAATAAACAAAACAGGTCAGAGATTGTTTATGTGGTTTAATTGCCTGCACTCTCACTGGAATGGTTTTTTGCCTGTTCATTCCAGACAGTGAATGAATGGGCACAACTCAGAGACCCCCAGTTCCATCCCCCACAGCCAATCTGGTCACTGCCACTGCTTTTTGGAAGGAGCCAGTCTAGTCACTGACACCCTGTTTTGGAAGGGAATGATCTCAGGCACATGGAGGGAGCTGTGCTGTGCCATTTGGCCTTGGGAAAAGACAATAGCCACTGGCCTCTTTTATTTAATTATGAAGGCCCTGGTGCCTCTAAGAAGGTTGCTGGCACATCACTTCTTGCATAGTTGAGCATCCCCTCACTAAACATCCTATTGCTCAACCATGCACAGCTGTCAAGATCCTCACAGGATGCTCCCAGTGCACATTCCCACATGCTACAAGAGAACACATGCTCAAGAGTGAACATGCTGTGCTTCTTTCCACCAGAGACACAGCTGGTTTCTAAAGACTTAGATGGTTGCTTGAAAAATGGTTTGTTTGTGTTTTTCTAAGTGAGAGATCAAACACCTTTTAATACAGAAATTCATTAGAAACAATGCTGAGTGTGAAATACAGCTACCATTTCTCAGACATCACACAGCTAAATGTGTTCCAGCATAGAAAGCAAGATGGTTTTTCAAAAATTGTTGGAACTTAAATCTGATCCACAGTTTGCCTTACGTTTTATCTCACCATTTAGAAGTAGGTCTTTTATTGGTATCAACAGAACTGTTGCACACTGTTTTCCCCTCCTTCCTGAAAGAAAAGACACTTTAAAGCTGCTACACTGAATTATCAATAGCAGCGGCCCTTTCTGTTTGCTACCCAGGGGTGCAGAATGTGCATTTCTAACCACAGTATAACACACTCCAGCAGCACAGGGCATTTCCAGCACTGCTGATAATCCTGTCTTCAAAGACTGTGAGAGCTTTCAGAGAGGGAGAGCCCTTATAGGCTCTGGCATCTGCTCCAGAGTAACCCTGAGTGAGGTTACTCACTGCTGCCCAACTCACTGACTTGAAGGCAGCCTATTAAAACAAGCCCAGAGTCCTGGGCAAGCGAAGCGTTATCAAAGGCTCACTTCAGAGCCCGGGTTTTTAACAGGAATTAAATCTCATCTGCTTATTCTTAAAGATAGAACGACTCTGTCAAACCCACACACTCAGCATCCCTGAGATGTCAGTGGCAATCACCTCCACAAGTGAAAACCCAGGAATTCTTATTCTCAGCAACTCTGTCACGAGCAAAGCCACTCATGTAAACTGCTGGCAAAGCGCCCGGGTCGTATCCTTGTCTGCTGATTGCTCCACACAGGCTGCCAGCCTGATCTTTCAGCTCATACACAAAGCTCTGTGCCAAGGAAACCGAAATTCAGGGGCAGCTCCACTGCCAGCCCTGCCCTAATGACATTATTTTCTCCTGGTTTCCCTGTATTCCTTGAAATCTCCAAGTTCCCGTTCACAAGTATTTTCCCATAAATTCATGGTATGTCCTAGATCCTGTGTCCATAAATTATCACGAGTTCAGTGAAAAATGAGTGTACAATGAGTTTATGCCATGCTAACTTTACTCATTGTTAAATTTTAAAAAAAGCAATGAAACTTTCTGTTGAAATATGAAGACTGAAGAAAGAAACTAGTAAGAAAAATCACCACCACCCTATTTTTAAATTAATGTTCTTCCCTGAACGAATTGAAAAAAAGAAGGTAAACAGCAGTGCTGAAAGCAGTTCATATTTTCAGAATTCTTGGTTCATGAATTCCAGGTGCTAATTCTCAGGTAGGCAGGAAAATTGGATTCCAAAAAACATTGATTTTAGCATGACAGTGTTTTTTGGAAGTTAATGACATGCAAATCACTATGCATGTATTTACATTTTTGATTAGGACAAGATTGAGATGTTAGAAAATAGAGCAATGATCCTGCTGCAGGTTCCAGCAAAGATGTTTCGGATATTCAAGAGATATGAATAACTAACATGGAAGAAATAAGCAAAGGTCAAAAAAAAGAGGGATTAAAGGCTGAAGATAAATAACTTGTCTCCACTATCCTCCTCAAAGAGTTCATGCTATCTAGGGTGAATACTTTTTTAATTAATGAGAAACTAGTTCGATGGGAAAACCTACGTCATGTTGGGGCTCTGAGGGGCTTCTCTGGAAACTCACAGTTCTGTTACACTGCGAATGCTCCTCAGACTCTCAGACAGAACAGTGTGACCTCAGGAGCTGTGAAACTGAAGTCTGCCAATGAAACTTAAGAAAGAAATTTGATCGAGTCTCTTGCATAATTCACTTTCTCTTCTTTGGGCTGAGCTGCAGAAGGAGCACCACAGCTCCCAGCCCTCCGCCTTCCTCGCATCCCAGATA